TAGCACATCTGAATAGTCTGTATCACAAGCCGCGAATATCTCAGTCGAAAAACCGACCGGTAAATCGCGACATCCCCATGTCCGGTGATGGGACCTGAACTGCTCAAGAGTGGTTAGTGCCCCAAAAACGCATTGGCGCGCCTGAAACATTATTCAACCGTCGATAATCTGATTGATTACTAGAGGTACAGAGCGAAGGCGAGGAAAACCATTCTAGAAAGCAAAAATTCATGGTGGAGATCATACGTCTCCTCTTCGAACTGTGTGATGTGCAACCACATTTTGTGTGGAGGAAAATGCATCAAATTAGGGGATATTCCTCCCCAAATTCAGTACCCGGTCTTCTTAACAATGGTGAGATAATCACATCCCAAGACGTAAGGGAACTTGCCGTCCATTATGAACACATATAGAGTTCGGCGAACTCTGCTCCTGACTTTCTTTTATTAAATGAACGAATCGCGATTTGTATTTTTCGAGCAGAACTCTTGAGGAGGGATTACAATATCCCATTCTCTATGTGTAAAATGCACTTTGCTTTGATGCTTGCAAAAAGAACTGCTCAAAGTCCAGACGAAATTCATAATCTAGTGTTACAACATCTTCCTGAAACTGTCATGCAATTTCTCCTCCGGCTCTACAATTTTATGTGGGCAGAGCACTCCATCCCTGTTATATGGTGAGAAGCCATCATCACCCCAGGTCCCAAAGGAGGGAAAGATCGATCAATGCCATCAACATATCAACCCATTTCTGTCACAAGCTGTGTGTGTAAAATGCTGGAACGCATGGTGAATCGGTGATTAGTCTGGACTTTGGAGTGTAGAAACCTGGTGTCCCGAATCCAAAGCGTGTTTTGAAGACACGCGTCAACCTTGGACCACCTCGTTGCATCGGCAATATCTATCTCGACATCGTTCGTCTTGAGGCAACATCTTGTGGCCATTTTATTTGACATAAAAAAGGCCTACGACACCACTTCGAGATACGGCATTATGCGAACCTTGCACTCTTGGGGATTATAGGTGGAAGCTCCCCTTATTCCTCCAGAACTTCGTCTGGAACAAATCCTTTCGTGTTCGCGTTGGTGACAGGCTTTCTAGCAGTCACCCTCCAGAAAATGGTTGCCCTCAAGAATCGGTTCTGAGTGCTACTCTTTTTGTCATCGACATAAATGGTATAGCGTCGACTTTGCGAGAACCTGTAAGGGCGTCACTCTTTGTGGATGATTTTGCTGTCTTTTGTTCGTCTAGCAGCAAGTTTGATCCAGAGGAAAGTTCAATTGATGCTTACCAAGCTCCACGAATGGAGTATGTCAACAGGGTTCAACTTCTCTCCTACTAAATCTAGTGGTGTGCATTTCTGCAGGGTATACCAATTTCATGGCCAACCAGACTTGGGAGGAAATCAACTTCCATTCGCTGAATCTGCCAGGTTCATGGGTCTCACATTTGACAAATCCCTCAGGTGGCGCGCTCACATCCGCAAACCATAATCCACATGTCTCCCCCCTTAATTGTCTTGTATGCTGAGTGGTACATCATGGGGAGCCGACCGCATTAACATATTTCTACGGAACCTTCGAACATCAGCAACACAGTCTCCAGGTATTCGATTGACAAATATTTTGCGGGACCTTAATGTCGGACTTCCCTCCTCTGTGAAACCCCCTAGAATCCTCATCCCACCTTGAAAACTCATCCGACCCAATATTGACCTCAGACTCTTCGATCTTCCTAAACAAACCACTAATTCTCTTGTTTACCGGTTACAGTTTCAGGAAATTAGGGAAGCTTATCCGGATCATATATTCTTGTACACAGATGGTTAATCGTAGAATGACGCTTTGGCATGTAGCTCTATCAGGGTCACCAAGTCATATCGACTAAGCCCAGTGTAGTGTTTTCACTGCGTAAATGTATGCAATCCTCGAAGCTTTAGAGTACGTGGAGTCTGTGACGCCGCGGCAAGTATTTCTCTGTTTTGATTCTCTCAGTACTCTTCAATCTGCCTCCCGTTCTTCCTGAGACTACATGAAATCCGTTCAAAACTTGATTCGTCTCTAGTCTCACCCCTGTGATGTGGTACTCAGTTGGATCCCAGGCCACGTGGAAATCTCAGGAAATGAGAAATGAGGAAGACTTGTATTAATATTCCTTCTGTACCATCGTCTGATGTTAAAACTTTCTTGAAAAGATCTTTCTTTAGAGCATGGCATATGTTGGTGCAATACCACTTTTACCCTAAGTATGATAAAGGATTAAGTTTAACCCTGTCATTCCTCATTCCAAACATCTCGGCGTAAGGAGGTAATTTTAACCAGTCTTCGAATGACACACTGCCACTTTTCACATGGTTTTCTCCTTCGAGGTGGATCTCCCCCAATCTGCGATTCGTGCAAGACAGTTCTTGCTGTGAAACACGTCCTGTTGCGTTGTATGAAATTCGATGGCAGTCGACGAAGAAATGGCTTGGGAAACTCCTTACGGGAAGTGCTCAGCGATGACGATTCCATGCTCGCAATCTTTTTTTGTTTTTTAGAGAAAACGGAATATATAATTTTATTTGAGAGATAAGAACCATTCTGTATGAGTGTGTGTTGTTCTTGGCCCCTTTACAGCCAAAACTACGTTCATTATAAATATTTGTGTTCGTTTTATTGAATTGACCTTTTGTTGTGCACTTCTATATTTTATGCGGAATTAAGCCTTTCATAGGCAATGTACACGCTTTTATTCAGCCGGTAAGTTGCTTTTGCAACATTCTCTTTTACAATATCTGTTTAATTTAAAAGAATACGTGACATGGGCTTCAATGACCTCAGTAGTTGAAGTGCCCTGTCACTCATTGTTCCTCCCTGTACCTCCCCCTGCAATCTTGGCCCAGTCCAGTCCGCCCCCTTCCTCCCCTGCCATGTTTGCTACGATCATCGTTGCTACCAACATCGTTTGTATGATTCATGCCGCTAGCATTGTTCAAAAACGGACAGACTGACGGACAGAAGTTTTCTCGTCATTCGATTTATCGGTATCAAGGACACTCAAAACATGGATTCTGTCTGCACCACGTGTTGAGGATTTTTCTAAATTGAGCATCTGGATTTATCCACTTTTTCGTTACCAAGGCCCTGTAAATAACAGTTTTACTGAGAAAATTCGCCGTTTTGTCGCGCAGAATTACATAACTTTCTTTCTACTCAATAGCGAGAAAGTAAATACCCAAGAACACTGCAGTAAATGAAATATTTGAATAAAAAACCTCTTCACGAATTCTGCAATAGAAGTCAGAAGTAAAAGTGTTCGATTGTTTTTGGATTTTCTCCCCGGGTTCCTGAACGAATTCCAGACGTAAAGTACATTATGACGAATATCGCTGGCATTTATTCTTTCGTAAAATTTCTAATTGCATAAATAACTTGGAACTTTATATGCCACTCTTTTCAAGAATGTAATTATTGAACTTGTTTAGACATGCGTTGACCGGTTGTGCATTATCAAGCACCAGGTGTTATGAGAGAGAGTCAACATTGCTTTGCTTTGTTTTGAAATTAAATAAATTCGAGAGGTAGGATAAAGAGGTCAGTTTCGAGTATATGAATGAATAGTCAGAAAAACTCAATATTTGTTTATGGAAGTGTAAGTATTTTTTGAAATTTCCTTCCTGTTCTCTGTCATGGGTATCCGAGCAAAGATATATTTCGTCTTCATAATAAATTTGTTTTAAAAATTAATTTGTTTATATTTTTAATAATAGTTTAAGAATATATTTCCATTTGAAAGTTGTAACGTTAAATAATTTTTGCACTGATTTGTGAAAATGTTGAACTTCTCTAGAAAAGTTATACACTGACACACACACACACACACACACGTGTGTGTATATATATATATATATATATATATATATATATATATATATATATATATATATATATATATACTTTTTCCACTTGTATATGAAGTAAATGCACTTCAAATACTTTATAAATGGATATGTATTCATTTAAAATGTGTGCAATTCTCGTGATTTTACATGCACATTAAACGAAATTCCTAGGTTGCCCAGACCCAGTGCTAGCAATCTCTTTCAGAAATTCGGTGCGTTCTCTGCCAGGTTAAAAGGTCTTCACTCATTTGAGCAAAAATGATTAAAAAATAAGGAAAATATTGTAACATTTTTGAGAAAATATATGGCATATTTTTTGAAAATTTCCTTGGTTTCACTGAAAATTATCTGAAAACTACTCATGTTTTTGACAAATCGAACATGACATGAGTTAAAGAACTAATTATGAAGAACAGATAATAGGCTTCTTTAAGAAAAAATATCTATCCTCTTTATGCAAAGATTAAAAAAATTGATTTTGTAACTTACAAAAATTAAGAGAATTTAATGGAAGTCATAAGTGTGCGTTAATAATGTATTGTTATTAGCGTTCATTCCACAAAACAGCGATTTTTTAGAAACTTTTGAAAATATTAAGTCCTTCAAAACTAGGGTATCCGTTTGAAAATCGAGGGGCGTTTCCACTAACTAGATCAATCAGGTAATATACGCGTTTGTGGAAATTCTGTATTATGATGTAAGCGCTAGTGTTGTTTAGATGAACTTACTGCCAGAAGTACAGACGTTTTGTCGTAAACATTTTTCAAAAACCAACAAAATGGGAATTTTGACTTCACTACATATTCGAGAAAGTAATTGACTGTATTATGAGCAAGAATAATCCACGTTTGAACAATCAGAAACCCACAAAACAAGTTATTTTGTTAAAAATCATTACATTTTTGCTTCACGAGAATACAAAGGTGTACAGAGAAAAGTAAATAAAATGGAGTGGACCATAAGGTAGAGCGATTCCCACGTAGATAAATATTCTAGTTAGTATTTTAATCAATAATTTATAAGTTGTAACATCTTAGGGGAAAATTTAGTGGGAAATAATTTTCACGAAAACTAAGTCAACAATGATTAATAATTGTTATTTTATTCTATTTCAGAAAAGGTGGTTTGTTACTAAATAATATTCTCGGAGTTCTTGGTGCTGTATTAATGGGTTGTACGAAAGAAACACAATGGTATGAAGTACTGTTTCTCGGGCGTCTTATCATTGGTGTCAATTGTGGTGAGTATGTTAAAACCATAATTAAAATTTCCAGTGTATTTTTTGATTTTTATATTATTTTATATAGATGTTCATTAACCTATGTTGCCAATGTATAAATGTAGTACTAATCCTCTTTTCCGGAAATGTGACATCATACTGTTGCATATAACAGTGATAGCGTATAACAATAATTAGTGAACAAGCGATTCAATTACTTTCAAGTTCCTGTTCTCTTTTACATTCCACTTAATAATATACTTTTAGTTGTAGCGCACAACAGTTGATTGATTGAAAACATTGCACCACCATGTCGCATGGCTCGAAGTTGTTAACATTTAACGTGCCGTTGAGGAACCGCAATAATAATAACAATAACAATAATAATAACAATAATAATAATAATAATAATAATAATAATAATAATAATAATAGCGTAGATCCAATGGGGCATATTCGCAAGAAGAAGAATATTAACTTATAAAATCATTGTTTGCTTAACAGTATATTTATAGGTAATTATTATTTTATTATTGTTATTATTATGTGAACGGTTCTTAATATTTTTACCTGAAAAATAATATATACAGTAATATTACTGCTCTTTGCGTCGATTTAATCCACCGATTTCCAGTAAGTTTTATTTTTGTGACAGTTCGCAAAGCCGTCCCAAAAGGTAATCGGAATACTATTATGTTTCGGGAATTGGATGCGTGGCTTAATATTGGTAGCTATTCTCTTCTCTAACTTACAACTGAAATGAGGACAACAAAATTCATCATTGCTTCCGCAATCACTAGTGTAATTCTGTTTTATCTTTCCACCAAAAATAAGTTACTTTTTACTGCGAATCTACTGTTCCACGTATAATCGCTACCACATATACAAAGTAATGACTGCTACACACACACACACATTATATGTATGTATATATGTATATATATATATGTATATATATATGTATATATATATGTATGTATATATATATGTATATATATATGTCTATATATATATTATGTATATATTATGTATATATTAATTATATTTGTATATATATATGTATATATATATGTATATATATATGTATAATATATATGTATATATATATGTATATATATATGATATATATATATAGTATATATATATATTATATCTAATAATATACACCTTGTTTGAAAAAACACTACTTGAAAAACTTGTAGAAAATGTCATTCCTACATAAACGGAGAGAAAAAAATCATTCATGCGCGCACTTTTTATGGCAATTTGCGTTCGAAAATTAACATTCTATTTGTGCTACCGAAAGAAAATTCTTGCCCTTCTCATATTTACGCGTCGAAATAATTGGAAATGTTCATTTCCCTGTGCAGCGATGTTGGCCGCTCGCGCTCCGCTGAACTCTAGAAATTTCCGTCCTTTTAAATTAAAATCCATTTCCATAACCACTTTCTTGTGGGCAGATATCAACATGTTCATTTTACTAGACAAGTTAAAACGCCTGGCCTCCTGCCTCCATCAACCACACTGTCCAAACAAAGTCTACCATCCGTCTGTGTTCTTGTTGCTCTGCCTTCCCACCAAGTCAAAAACTACTGCCGTCGTCTACGTTCACCAATTACTAAGGAATGTAATTTCGTTTCTTCGTTTACTTTTGATAGTATTCGATCCCACTCCTCCGTTATTAATTAAGTTTTTTTTTATTTCCTGTGTATTTTATTATTTTTCAATTCCTGTCAGCTTATTGTACAACTATTACTTACATCATGCATTTTGGACTTATTGCGTTTGATTGTTTTTCGAAAGTATTGTTGCTTTTTATTAAAATTCGAAACTTAATGTTTACGTGAATATTTGTAACTTTAACACCCCCCTCTTTATTTTTTTATCCACGCTCTCTCTATTGTTCATCACAGTTCCTCAGCTCCGGCTCCATATAAATAAATGTCACTTTTTTTCGAATTCCTTCACTTGTTTATTGTAATCGTGTTTCCGGTACTATTCCTGTCGTGCCTTGAGATTCGAGCTGCCTTCAATCTTCAAATACACTATCAAACCTGCACCAAGAAACCCAACACAGACCTAAAACCACCATAACTGATAGTTTGCACCAGGGGCATAGCGTCCATGGATGTGAGTGATGTGCTACATACCCTATCGATGTAAGTTGAGGTGGATACTAATTGATACAAAATTCAATGTACAAGAGGGATGAAAAGGACCAGTGGATCGATTGTATTAAACGGGTATATTAATATATTCCCTAACAATATCAATATTTTTATTTTTAATTTATCGGCAAAGTAGGCTCACGGCATCAACTGTCACTTCAGTGCTTCTGACTGAGGGGTCCTAGGATTCGAGTTCTGACGGTGGCAGGATTTTCGACCCTTGGTAGACAGCTAGATCGGATTCAGTCCCTTGTCTGGAGGAGAATTCTAACGGCCGGCTGCCTTGATCAAAAGTTTTAACTGGTTTCTCCGATCAACACCCGGCGAATGTCGGAGCCGTACCCTAACAAATGGGCTATGGACCACGCGCGATCTCTCCATCCCCTTCCTTGCCGTATCCTCACCCCTTACTTACACACGCTTACACTCGCATGCACTTCACTGTCACACGTGTCGGGAGACCAGTCAGGAGCTTGGAGCTTGTTCCGGCTGGAGCGGCAGGAGATACCTGGTTGGGGAAAATCCCTGCAAGATGATGTTGGTCGGCGTCGGATCTTGCTAGCCAGTGGGTGAAAATCATTGCCACCACCCGCAAAACACTACACTTACGAGACTAATGACCTTAGCAGTTGACGTACCCCAAATCACTAATCAATCAATTACTTTAAATTATTCGTTTTTATTTTCTTTATGTATTACTCAGAATTATTTGCCCGATTCATATTTTTAGCATCGCACTGCGGACTATTCGATTCTTCACAAGGATGAACGACCACAGATGGTTAGAGCGAAATACGTGATTCATTTAACATGCTCTTTTCATAGCATCGAAAAATCCGTTCTTCTGTCCATTAGTAGAGTTTGATTCGATTTCACTATCTAGTTGTCTAGTAACAAGACCGTAAACTTTGTCCTTTTAACATGGATTCTTATGGAGACTTGACAGAGCCGAGCAGTAATTTTAAAAGTTTGAGAAAACGAAGTATTGAAAATGTTTAAAAAATATATTTCTTAGGTAGTAATGATCATAAAGAATCTATGTGCCCAATTTGAAGAACATCTACCGTTTGAAACGGAAGAACGTTACAAAAGAATTCGTTTAAGACCTTCCGAAGGCAGACTTTCGTGCGTTTTCTATAGGTCGTGAGAGTAACGCCCAACTCGTTTACACGTTTTACACGTTACACACACACACGTTTCATTCAATCGAGTGACAATACCCCTGGCCCTCCAACTCCGCGCGCTCCTCTGAATAAAATGAAAAGATGACACCTGAAAAACGTTATCTTGGATATTAACCGGGTTAACAGTAAAGCTGAAATTTGATTATTAGATAGGTCTCTACACCCTGCATGAAATGCTCTAACCAATAAGTGTGCTAAATGAATCACTCTGATACTACACTCTACGAACATGTGGGTGATCTTGAGTTGCTAGATTTTCGTTTTTACATTTATAGCAGTATTATTATTTTGTATTGCATTGCAGCTTTGGAATTGCTCTCAAGGTCTTTTTAAATTTGTTGCGTCTGTATAGACGCAATATCGATTGTCACTCGATTGAATGAAACGCGTCTGTAAAGAGGCAATAGTGATAAAATACTTGGTTTTGTTGGTGGCAAAATTGATCATTCAAGATGGAGTTCCCTAGAAGCGAAGCGAAATAAGTCCTTTAGGGTTCCCATCTCTGGGGACCTTTCGCCCGGTTTCTTTTTTATAAAATATTCTAAATAATTACAGAACGTTGAACCTGAAAAGTAATATGTAATCAAATACTATATTGGTAATAAAGTTTGTATACATAAAATAACAAACGAATTGATTGAAGCGATGAGAAACTAACTAAAAAATTAAAAATATATTTAAATAAAAACGTGTACGTTCAATTCTGTACGTAATTTGTTAATTTTTATTTGTATTTATACAAAGTTTTGTATCGTTGTGGGTTTTACTAAATCTGGAAGATTTTTCGCAAGGGTAGGTCCAATACAGTATTGAGCGTGGGCGTCCACTGTATCTGGGTAAATGTAATGGAAATTGAAAGAGGAATGATAAATTCAGTTTTTTGAAGAATTAGTATGTTAATAATAACCCTTTTCTTCTTAGTATTATGTTCTCGCTAATATAATTTTCACCTGACCAAAGTCATGCATTTTGATGACAAAAAATGAGCAAATGTCGTATATCCAAAACATTAAAACCTTTTTCCTTTTACTGGGAAAGTAAAGTATATCGCGCAATGGGAAGAAGGGCCGCCAACAGTCACCTTGCGGAACCAAATATCCAGTAGAATCTCTGGATTTACGAGAGGTCGTGTCACCACAGATGAATCAAAATGACCCCATGTTAAATCTAATGAGGCACTTCACGTTTAAAATAGATATTGTTCGGCTAGAAAATCGGGCATTTGCTGCAAAAATGAAAGATGATGTTCAGCGACCAGTCATTTTCTGCGGCAAAGCCAGCTAGGCAAAATCAGGCATTTTCTGCGGAAGTAAGAAGGGATGTTCAGCAAGTAAGGAAGAAAATTCAGCAAGTAAGAGAGGATGTTCAGGGACAAAATCAGGGATTTGCTGCAAAAGTAAGAGAGGATGTTCAGCGTGAAAATCGGGCGTTAGGTGTAGAATTAAAATAACAATACAGTATTCTAATGGAAGGCTTGACGTCAAAAATTAATTACGTTAATGATAAGATTAAGGCGCTTCAGCGTGCCTGGGCGGCCGAATTAACGTGCGAATTTGATCGAAGTATAATTTACGCTACGAAGCTAATTTTCAAAAAAAAAAAAAAAAAAAAAAACAACCTAGAAAAAATCGAATATGTGCTCGAACTTCCGCAAACAATTTTTAAAACTTATTTGACTTATTGCGCGATGGCGACTAGCTTCCTGAATGCAACGACTTTTCAATCATGCAAATCGGATAAATTGGAGCGTCGTAAAGTGAAATTTGGAAAAACACATCGCTTCCCTCCCCCCCCTTCCTCACCCATCCGTTGTGGGCCACCTCTCAGCGAGGCGACACGTGCGGCCTAGCATCGACGGAGAGGCCGAACTTGCGGGACAGGCAAACCCGGCTGTCTATGCTTTCGTCACTTTGCATCTCAATATATTTTCCCCCACATATCTAACCAGTGATGCGGTAACAGAAGCAAAAGGTTTCATATCATCTGCAATAATAATAATATAAAACTATTTATCTTGTTCATATATTTCCGAAATAAAATTCCGTCATAAAATTGTTTGAGTATTACTCAAAATATCGATTACGATTTGGAACAGAATTAAAAAAAATGAACTAATTGTGTTAATATTACCAATATTCCATCTTTTCACCCCCTTTTTTAGGTATATTTCATTTGTAAGATCTTCCTTTATCATTCCACTACCAGAAAGAATGAGCAGAGATTACGCACGAGTTCTTTTATCCTACGACTCGATTTTTGATCTCAGAACGGCGTTTGTGTCCTTGATAGAACTCACCTTGCGAATCTCTTTTCCCAAGTAAAATAGCTGACGCTAATTTAAAAACGTTTTCGTACTTTCGAACAAATTTGAAAAAGTGGTAAAATAGCGCGCTGTCATTGTCGAACCAAATTATCCCCCGCGTGAATATGTTAGGTCCTTAAACCAGATGGATTTGGAGTGATGTTTTAATTTTGAATATTAAAATTATGAAATTAAATGTATATGATGTTATTTTTACAACCCGTGCGCGTGTTGTCTATGCCACCCTCCTAGTCCAAATGTCGGAGGGGGCGCAATGATAAGTCTGCGAGTTTATGGCACTATGTACACGTGTAAGACTGCGGGCATCAAATAATGTTTGAACATGGGGGAGGCTGTTCGGAGCAATGGCGCCTATTTGCTGCCGCCCGCCCCAGTGAAGCAACGGCTCGGAATCCTTTCTTAGCACCAGCAAGCCCCAACCCTTCGCTCCGGCTGGACGCGCAGAGAAATGGAATTAAGAAAAATTGAAAGGAGCGCAATAAAAGGGCTTCGTCGTAAATACATATGTACGACGTATTGGAGAAAACCAAAGTAATATGTGTATACTCATCGTATATAATTCACGAAACTGCTATCGTCACTTCAAAATCTTCTGATTCTCCTGCAAATATAAAAATTGTAGAACTTCTTGTTCTTCTTATGTGAGGTCGAACATCTTAATTTATTCTGCGCGTCTGATTCATTCTGCCCATTGTCAAACCGCGATGTACATTGTTGTTCCGTTGTACCAAGATGCGACGTACCTTCACTGTCACCCGCCGCAAAGAGGAGAAATTTCGTATTTCCGGTATTAGTTGAAGAGCAACAAAATTTCTTTTTCAAGTACTTTTTCAGACAACAAAAAAAACGACAAATTCTCATGTAATTACTTTTTAGCTCTGTAATTTCTTGGTTTTCTGGTAATTGCGGTGCTAACTTCATGTCATGCTAGCCAAATGTTCATAGCAGGGTCAAATGTAGAGCGACATTTTTTGTGTAATATAGTAGCAACAAAAAAGCGATAAATTTTGAGTTTAATTTCAATTTTTTTTTAAACAGTAAAAACTGTATGTGACGTAAGGGGGAGACAATTAGCGATACTGATTGACTGGCTTGCTCGCTGCCATTTTTCGCTTTATACTTCCCACTCCATCTCTTCTATCGCTGCTACTGATCATTCTTGAACTTTCGGTTACAGAGGATACGAGAACGTCTGCCCCAATTGTAGCACCTGTAGTGCGATTTGTGAAATTATGGGTGAAAAATTTGTGATTTGTGAAAAATAAATTGCGAAGTTATGGGTTTATTTTTGCAATTGTATAACAAACGATCCAGTGGAGATAGTGGCAAATCCTTCTGTGTCGGAGGACACAAAAATAGTCAATTCGACCGTACTAAGCATAGTTTGTAAGCTGTAGACCAGAACACAGTCTTTCGGTTGTTGACCTCAGACGGAGCGTCACATACCATGCACATCGCCGTAGGACTGAATCTGTTCGTAATTGTGGCATTGGCAGGCACTGAGCGAGACGTCGAGAGAGAAAGCTTTCTGGTCAGTGGCGCGTTGCCGACAATGCTCTTCCGCCGTTTTTACTGTCTGTTCTCTTCCAACTCTCGCTTCTGTCCTCGCTGAGCGCTCGTCAACATCTACCCTCTCTAGCAGTGGCTCTGTCATCCAAGGAAAATATTGATTTTACGTCAGTCTGAAATTAGGTCGGTCACTCCGAGTGACGTGGTGAGTGATTCTCCGAATTTTGTGAGGGGGGGGCACCTGTGTAGGTTGCGTCAGAGTCCTTGAAGTTGCTTGACGCATTTTTTCATAAAGATGCGGGGGAGCGAGCAAGGAGCGCGCAACGTGGTTGTCTACGGATACGGCGCTGTCCGTTTGCGACGCTCCTCCCATTTCGCAGCTGCGGCTTCTTTATGCTGAGTCGCATAGCGGCCTGTCATAATCTATAATTCGCTAAGGATGAGTTGTTGTATCCTTAAAAAGAAATGATCTACACAAAACTCCGTAAGTGTGCTACTGCTGGAGAGGGAATTGCGTCTCCTAGTCCTGCAGATTGAGGACCAAAAAAAATATTGGTACGCAGATAATAATGTAGGGCAGAGAGCAGGCATATCAATTAACCCACAAGCACAATACGTCGCAACACGTTACAATTCCGCGTAAGTCGTAAACGATGAATTCGAGGCCCTTAAAACCGAAGTTCGTCTGTAAAGGGACACGAGTTACGATATCCTTATTGCCAACCGATCGGCGGGCAATAGGCACAGGATTTCGAAAGGAAGATAAACGGCTCTCAGTTGGAATGTCTCTCTTGAGGAGGAGAGAGTGAATCATTATATGTTGTTGTTTTCGATTTCATTGATGCTATTATACTGTAATAATAATTTAGCGAACCTGTTTTACGTATGAGTTTGTATGTCGCAGATTAGTCTTAACACCCAAAATTAACCACTAAAATGCAACTGAGCTCAACTGAACTTTTCTAGTGACTTGTTGATTTTCGGTCGTTAAGATTAATCTGTGACGATGATAATAATATTAATAACAACAATGCAATCTTTGTATACATGATAAATAGTGTATAATACATGTTATACATCCTTGTTTTAGGTCTAAATACATCATTGGTTCCAATGTACATCTCAGAAATTGCTCCTCTCAATTTAAGAGGGGGTCTGGGTACCGTTAACCAATTGGCTGTGACTGTTGGCTTGCTGCTTTCACAAGTACTTGGCATCGAGCAAATTCTTGGCACAGACGAAGGATGGCCAATCCTTCTTGGTAAGTCGATTACTGGTATAACAATAATTGGAATGAATCCTTCTTTTATTAGAAATTTTTTCGCTAATTAACAAAAAAATGTAACATTACTGTAGTAGACGTAGTATAGTACCAATAACTTAGTGCTTAATAATTATTGTATAAAGCCGTCAGGCCTTCGCAATAAACGTTATGGCTTTGTCATTTGATTAATTGCCTCAAAATGACTTATTAGTACCTTAAATAATACACGTGTGAGTAGATTCTTTACTAAAAGTAAAATAAAATTATTCATCAATTACTTGCTGCAAGAGTCTTGGGACGCAGGTTACAATACTGTTGATACAATCGGTAAATCATTTTTTTTCTTTTTCCAACACTTTCATTTCATTTGAACACTTGCTTTCCTCTTCAAAAAAGAAAATGAAATATTTCATGGAAAAGCAATTCTTGGATAACACCAGGAATTAGAACATCATGTAATAACAAACGAATTCTTTCTTTCGTTTCTATGCATAATAAATTATTTTAAGATTTCCTTCTCTATTTAAAAAAATACACATCATTGCTAAGAAAAGTCATAAGGCAGGCTCACGACGAAAATGGTCAGTATATTTTGAACTCAAATAATAAAACAAAAGCAATGTGGAATATAGTAAACAATTGACCAAATCGACTAGATACCTTGTAGAGAATGTTGTTTCAAAAGATAACAATAGAAATTTGATCGATGCGGCAACAATGGCTAGTCTCATTAACCAATACTTTTCGAGGATTGTTGCCGATCTCACTAAGGGTCTTCAGCCACAAAATTCTGTATCAGACGTTTCCCCCAAAATTTTAGACACGATTTTTGTTTCCGAAACTTCTTCCTATGTTATTCTCAAAATAATCGGTAGAATAAAAACTAAATATTCGGTCGGTCTAGATGAATTTCCGGATTGTTTGTCAAGGGTTTGCGCGTTCGCCATTATACACCCGTTAACTCACATATTTAATGTATCCGTATGCACAGGAATTTTCCAGATTTTTTTTTAAAACGGCTAAAATTAAGCCGCTTTTCAAAAAAGGCAACAGAAATGAAATTCAAAATCATTGGCCAATTTCTTGTTTGTCGGTTTTTTCAAAAATATTAGAGAGACTTTTTTACGTATGAATGGAAAAATTTCGTAGTAAACCCTACGCGTTTTCAGATTGCCAACATTGGTTTCGAATATCAAAATCTACGGAAACAGACATGTTTTCTTTTCTTAAAGATGTCGCCTCATCCATGCATCAAAACGAAGCACATATTGGAATATTTTTAGATCTTTCAAAGCTTTTACCATTATTGATCATAACATTTTATTTTCAAAATTACCTTAGTATGGAATTTGTGGTGATGATCTAGATTGTTTGGTTCGTACCTTTAACAACGATCTCAGAGAATAGAAATACCTTACTGGAATAATGGAACATTATGTACACACTTTTCTGATTATTTGCCAATTGCATGTGGGAATCGATTTTAGGTCCTATTCTCTTCCTACTATATGTAAACGATAGGCCCTTGACGATTAGAAACGGAAGAACAGTTCTCTTTGCGGATGGTACGAATATTCTTTGCAATAAAGAAACCGTAAATAGTACAATAGCAGATATTTCAAATTGGTTCCGTAATAACAAATTAACAGATAATGAAAAGAATACTGTTTCAATTTAGTTTTGCATTTCAAATAAACAGCTCTGCACACTGAGAATGTACGGTGTGCCTTTGACTGATGCCTTTGACTGATAACAAACTTTTTAGGTTTTTCAACTCAGCCAAACCTTAAATGGAACGTCCATTTAAATGAATTGAACACTAAATTAAGTTCTTTATGCTACGCTTTCAGAATTCTTTCAAATTCAGTCAGCCTGCACATTGCACGTTGTGTATATTTCGCGAATGTTCATTCCCGCCTGAGATATGGCATATTCTGGGAAAATACATCTTATAGCTCCCAGACGTTTAGATTACAAAAAAGAATTGTACGAATAATAAGCAAATTCTACCCACGTGATTCTCGTAAGCCTCTCTTCATTAATCTAGGTATCCATTACCTTGTCTCTTGATATATGAATCAGTTTTTTTTGTTTAAAATTACTTACTTAAGGGCGGGAACGTAATTTCAGCAAACGCTGATATCTGTAACTACAACACTCAACGTAATCATATTCATCAGGTGACAGTATCAACTGCTCACTACAAAAAAATCACATACAATTCATGTACATTATTTTAAAACACCTTCCCAGATGGCATTAAACGATTAAATTCGATACGAAACTTTAAGTCCCAAGTCATATCTTTTCTGCTGCACAAATGTTTCTATACAATTAGAGACTATACCGATCATCCAAAAAGTAATATTAATATTATTAAAGTAATATTAATTTTTAAAATGACATTTAATGTATTATATATCATTTGGATTGTACAATTGCAAAGAACCTGTAACAAGTATTGTACTTCAGCTTTTGGGTCAATGACTCCCATCTCGATCTGGTTTTCGTCAAGTTTTCCTGATCCTTGAGCAAATGCTGAGATGGCCCTTTGTCTTGATTCTGTACATAAATGTAAACTCAAATTAACTTCCCGACATGGCACGTCACACACAGTTTTTAACTGTTTCTGACGTAAATAAATAATAAATTATTACAATGAACTTGTGTTTTAGTATATAAGTCATACGTGAGGGACTGAGAACATAATATAAATAGTTCCCGGAAGTAGTTTGCGACAATCGCAAGGTATAGCTTATAGAAGGAAGTACATTATCTTGGTATTTTGTTTTTCTTCTTATGAGCGTAACACTATTCGTTGACATCAGCTCGAACTCTGCATGCAGTCGTATCAAACGTAGCGCAAACAGTGTGAAACGTAGGGGCTAATAGGAATCGAAGTACTTGATAAATGATATTGTATCTTTTATTTATTTTTTTTTAAATTTCCAACATCTTTATAACTTCGATCATTGCACTATGGTTTCTGAGACACGTTTCCATGGTGAAAATGCAAATTTTCATCTTACATAAATATACTCTCTGTGCATCATTATGTGAGGTTCAAAGTTATCTGTTTTGCACCCACATTGTTGATTGTTGGCCCTCCTGTCGCGTGCCATTCTTGTATATTTGGTACTTCCCCGTTCAGTCTCCGCGCTGAAGTGCGAGCCGTCGAGCCAAGGTGAGATTGATAAGTGTGCTATAGTATGCGTTTGCACGCTTTCCTTCAAACCGGTCATTTTGTTATTCTCCAGAAATTTATTTTTCGTAGCAATTAGTTGTATTGCGCTATTTAATTCAGAGATCCTAAAAAAATGCTACATTATCCATTGCTGTGAATTTTAATTCTATAACCGATAACTTCACAAGTTGAATTGGCGTTCATAAATTGACGGAGTTTGACGGGCTCTGGCCACGGCCTATTCTGTTAGTAAGTTATTTTAAACATGTTCCAATTAGTTCCAGCTACAACGAAGTGCAACTCTTGAGTAATTATTGTTTTTTCTCTAGATATGCCTCGGTTCAAAAATGAATTTCTATTAGATTTTTTCTCATAGTTCGTGATAACCAAGAACATATTACGCTAATCTAAGAGTTTATAATTGATAATGTTAGAAATAAAATGAAATCATCGAAGGAAGAGAAAAATAGATCCGAAATTGGCCCTTTATGCAAAATTTCGAAGGAATATGTTGAAAACACTGTCTAGAATATTTTATTTACAAAAATTGTCTTGCCTATTATCAAGATAGAACCAGTACCATCATTTACGACGTGTGGTCAACATCGCCTTCAGTTTTGCGAAAAATCAATTTGAACAAAAAGAGAGGTATCTTCGCAGAGGTCACATAATTTGAATCACGAGTCTGCTTTAATTCTGCGAGCGGCGAGTATTGCTACACATCATGATAGAAAGCTAGAAGAGAGGAGCTTCAAAATTATATAGACTATCCACTGGTCAATAAAAGGGAGTAGGCAGCGTTTTAAAAAGAAGTTTTTTTACACATGTGAAGAAACGCTGGATCTCTTTTAGGAAACAATTTGTGTAAGGAACAATATTCGGATATTAGAAGAATGAACTTTAGATAATTGAAGGAGGCAACAATATTTTAATGTAAGAAGAATTTACATTAAACGATTTAAGAAAGCAACAATATTTAAAAAAATGTAGTGTCTATCCTGACTACAGGAAGATTTGGCATTGTGTGTGTATACACGATCTACCTATAGACCGTTCCTATAAACGACCTAGTTGCGTAACTTACAATACGAAAATTGTGGAAAACACAACGGAACAAATAGTGTGTTAGAAGGTGCCATTAAGCATATGACTGTATGCTAAATGTTAGCAATGCGGGAGCAATATCAATGCGGAAATTATATCTAGTTACGGTTGTGAAGGCCCTTTTTGCTGATCATTGTAATGGTAAAAATTAGATACCTACTCGTGGCAATCATTTTAATGCTTTGTTTACAATCACCTAGATACCTCTCCGTTTCGTGACAAAATATGTCATTTGAAAATACAGAATTTCCTGTCGGTTATGTAGGAAAAAGATATAAAGCAGGAAATAGAAATACAAATATGTTCAATAGCATCGGGCAAGGCAAAGCTGCAGGCAGAATCATTTGGAGGATATTTTCGATTCAGCAGTTGACACTTAAGATTCAGTGGTTTTTAGCTTTAATTTAGGAAAAGGGATAAGACACCAAAACAAATGAAATATTCCTTCTGAAATAATAGCAATGCTGACCAAGACAAAGAAAGTGCGGGTGTCACATTGAGGAAGAAAAAGAATAAGAACAGGAGGAAGAATAAGAAAAAAAAGTGCAATGATCGAGATGATTTGAAGACTAATGAAAGTATTTTGAAATATGGTGTGATATAATGATTTTTATACTAGATGTTTTGTATACTCGAATTAGTGAATAGGAAGAGTTAAGCTGGCATGTTTTTATTCAATATTTTATTAAAATATATACATTTGTACATTTTGTATTTTTTGCAGAATTATATATGGTGTTTGCTGTTTTAATGCGTTTGAAGCATTTACACTTGATACGTTCTTCACAATTTATAGTTATTAATTTTGTCCACAAATATGGGCCTCAGAAACCATAGTGCATTCCCCAAATCCAGGTAGATTCAATCTTTTACAACATTACTCGTATTTCCTAAAAAGGACCTTATCTTAATTACATACACTTCTTCGCGAGAAAATCTTTCTTATTAATGTCGCCAATTTGGTTCGATATTGTTAGTAACAACTCTTGTTGCTAGGTCCGCATAATGCAGTGCGTGATTCACAGTTCCGCGGTTAAAATTGTTTTGTTTGAACCTACAGACCTCCCGCAAAGTTAGTGAAAAAGTATGATGCTCGCTATCACTTACCGACTGCAACAAAGTGTCTTGCGTCCCTCGTATTTTGAAGGTTCATTTTCAGTTACCCGTCACCCGTTGAAAATAACATACTAAAATGACACCAAAAACCCTTTCCAAAACCACAATTTAAAAGTGAGCTAACACTGCCTATTCAAAATGGTAACAATTCATTATAAGTAGAGATATAATTTTATGGTCAATGAAAAGGGCCAATATCGGTGAAAAAAAATGCTAAAAAAAGGATAAAAGTGATGAAAAAGAAATACTAATTATTGTAATTAAAGCAAGTATTTATGGTGAATTTATTTACCAACTAGCTGAACTCATGCAAAAACCTCGCAGATTTGAACTCAATTAAATGGAATGTATTCGCCTAAAATGTATTTCTTCAGCGGAGTTCTGCGGAGAGCAGAACTCAACTTCTGTTTTAAACTATTTCAAACAAAAATGAACTCTAGTAATATTGCGTATTTTATTCCTCAGCATTCTGACCGTGATTTTGATATCTATGACACACGAGAGTACATTTCTCTAATTAATAAATAGTGCAATGAATATTCTTTCTGTCGTAAGTGCCTCTGGAGGCAGCAATGAAAAATGTTTATGGAAGCGTAATGTAGTCGAGCCAGTACTGCCGATTACATGGACTCGCGTTCAAATCTTGACAACGCGGGCCTATCTTTACTGCCACGTGTACTATATAAAGACGGAGAGTTATGTAATGATGCAGTGGAATGTGTCGAAATTTTCACAGAAAACACTTTTTGTATGTCGCTGATTCGAAAAACGAGAATTGGTTACTCGTAAGCGACCTTTTCCTATTCATAGTGTCAAAACACTTATGTGTTGGGAGTTCTTCAACCTGAAAAACCTCTAAATTTTCGAAAAATCTCTGTTCCCGTGCATGTAATAGGTTCTGTATTATTAAAACAAAAAAAAACATAAATTAAAAAAAACAACGTTACTTTGCTGTTGGCTGCGTGTTAATTTTTAGCGTGTAAGGACGATGTGAGGACCAAAATAATCCCAATGTCCTTGTCAGTCGTGTCATATTAACCCCCCAAAAAATGAAGTTTATGTCATGGCAAGGATTAATATTTTTTAAATCTCGTTTACGCATAAAAATGGAGTCGTTCTTTTTAAATGATTACCCTTTTCAAATATGTCTTGCCATTACAAATGACTAAGTGGCATCAAAAGTGTCGTATCTCAACGGAAAAGTTTTTGACTGAAAAAATATGTCATTTCGGCATTGACTTTTTTTTGCCCAAAGTCTGTAACATTTTGTGTTCCTGCTATGTGGTCATTAATAATAAAATATATTTCCTATTGTTTTCTATTTGTTAATTTTGAATATCAATCAGTAACAATTCTTAAAGTGTATCACATTAGCCCCAATTTTTTGCTGCATCATACTAACCCCGACTGATCCTCTCTTTTTCAAAATAAATATAGTAAATCCAAAGTTGATTAGAGACTGTAAGTGAAGAAACTATTAGATATGTCACATAGAAACACAGTTATACATATTTGTTGAAGCACATTGCAATCTTGACGTTTCGACAATTGTTCCATTGTCATCTTCAGGTGCTCGAGGTTACATAAATCAGTCATTGCCAGTGAAAAAACATAACTTAGAAGTTGTTAAAGATATCTCACAGTGTGTCAATGAGATGTATCTCAGATCCAACATGATCTTTGTTGTAAGAAACGGAATGAACTGAGCTCACATTCTTGTGACACTCTGACATCAATGTGAAGCCAGATCATTCTGTTTCTTCTCACGATTTCCATATCGGATCCGAGATGCATCTCGTTGATTCATTGTGAGATATATTTAACAACTATTAAGTTATATTTTTTCTCTCACGATAGCACCATTTATGTAACCTTGAGCATCTGGTGATGACAATGAAACAATTGTTCAACCGTGATTGCAACGTGTTTCAATAAATAGGTAAAACTGTGTTTTATGTGAAATATCCAATATACGGTTACTTTAATATTGTCTTTAATGGACTTGGGATCTACTATATTTATTTTGAAAGTATGTGCTTTGGTATATCAATGTCTGATGTGAAGAATAAATCATCTGTTTAATGGAAGGCAACATAGTATGTGTTTGTTTACAAAAAATAAGTCGAGAAAATGCTTCTTGAAACCACGTTATCTTTTAATATTGCGTAATACTTACCAGACTGTCGCTCAGTATCACACATAATAATGAGTCCATTTTCAACCAAGTGGATTCAGATCTGGTTCCAAACCCGATTTACCGATTTCAATTGCACTACTAGTCGAGAAAGAAATCTTCTACGAAAAATATTGGAATATATTGCCAGAAAAATTTAAAAATATGCAAAGAAATGTTTTCCTTATATGTACTATGCCTGTAAATATGGATAAATATGTTTCTAGTCACCTCAATAAGGTTTTTGTTTATTTCGTACTACTGTTTACTTCGTAAACACAACAAAATGTCGAGCTTAACTACCGAACAGATAAATATGTTATTATAAACACATCCTAGCCCTCATTATTACACATGACATTGGAATCATCCCAGTCAAAGTACAACTATTTGTATCAAAGCCTCACTAAAAATATCATGATATACAGTATTGTTTTATGAAACATTTTCAGTTGACATTAAGCAATTAAAAGTTGTTCAGAAGATCAAAAGCTATAAAAATTTTGAATGCAGCATTTCTGATCGTATTCATGTATAGATTTCACTGAGTATCAAAACCGTATGTAATATTTTCCTTAAAATAATTTATTTGTTGTTTACAATGTGTAATTTTAAAATACTGAATATACTTGTTAGAAGGTTATTATTAAGTTGTTCTAGGTCTGGTACCTTATTTCGATTTTCCGTACCGTTACCCGTAATCCACTGAGTAAATGCAGAAATGAAGTGTTGCTTTCCTTCTGAGTAGTAAATATACGACCATTAATTATATTAATATGCGTATTCCTTCAGTATATTTCATCGGTGAATGACATCGATTACACACTCAGTGGATTCCAGTGCGGAATACACGGCGTTTCGACCAATCGCATTCCTAGAATTTTTGGAATCCACTGACAGAATTGCATTATCTTTGCAACTTGCAATACGGTTTTTTAATAACACTCGCTGTGCGCGAAGGAACAAAAGGGCAAAGGGGGACACGTGAGACAAAGCGGAGAAAGGAGGACGAAGAGGGAACGGGGACAAAGTGGGACAATTGGAACAAAATTAACAAAATTAGAAAAGTGGAGAAAAGGGACAAAATGAGGAAAGTGAGATAAATTAGACTATTAGGAAAATGGGACACTCGGACAAAATGTGATAACAGAACAAGGTGACAAAATGGAGCAATGGGACAAGGGTTGCCAATGGGACAATGTTGTCAAAGTGTGGCAAGGGGCGAACAGGATCTAAGCTCGCGAGTCCTCTAAGTTATTTTTAATGGACTCTTGAGCATTTTACTCTTCGAGCAGTTGCTATGCACTTGTCTTGCGTTGGATGGGTGGTTGCCAATCAGCTAAGCGCGTGTTCGCCGACGTAAATAACAAAAATCTGTTCCAAATCTATTCTAAAAATTGAAGGTCGTAGAGAAAGTATAGTATTCTACTCTCACATGAGGACTATTATCAAGTACTCGTTGAAGAATATACTACTCCCTGCGCCCTCTCCAACGACACATGCAGTTTTTTTACGTTAACTTAGTAAATAAGCAAATAAATAAAATAAATAAGGATTAGACAAATAAATGTCAGTCGTAACAATCCTCATCCAGTGACTTTTTTTTATTATCAGGGTATGTGATGAATTATCACAATGAAGATGGTTATCATGTCTCGTCTTTATATTTTATTAATTTAACGTCAAAACTGTAATACTAGTTGTGACGTTAGAAAACAAGAATAGAAAAGCTACATTTACTATTCAGATGCAAAAAAAAATTCATCTCTGCATTTACTCAACGAATTAATGGAAATGAGATCAAGTAGGAAGAAAGGATCCAGAACGGTTTTTAGTAGATTCAATCAGTGCTTTTTCGACTCATTGCGTTAGTTCATGTATTCGTGTAGGACTGTTGTATGCAGAAGAGAATACTTTTGTGTCAGACATTAATTGAAACAATAGATCTAAGAGTATTATTATTATAAGAAATTGAACTTCCTAAAAGTAGTGCTTAAAATTGATGAGACATCTTCTCAAAATATTAAGCTAGTTTGTTTTTTTTTTACTGTCTAATATACTGAGAAATTGGAGTGCACCATTGAAGCTAAAATAAGCCTTGTAACGTATAATTCCATGTTTCATACGAGTGTTATATGTTCTTAATAATAAATATTATGTATATGTTTATATTTGTGTATGAGACTGTACTATTTATTTCTGTCTTATAATGTCAAGGTCTAGCAGTTTGTCCAGCACTTCTACAGCTGACTTTGTTGCCTTTTTGCCCTGAGTCACCAAGATACTTGCTCATTACGAAGCAGTGGGAAGAACAAGCGAGGCAAGGTATGAATGTACTGAACATATAAAACCTTTTTTTCTTTTATATGTAGTTTTTAACTAAATTATCTATTGATCGCAAAACTAGCTCATGTTGACTCCACATCCTATGTACTTCTTTACGTAGTGGTCAGTTAACAAATTTATCACTATTTGGAGAATTCCTTCTAAGGTATTTTCAATTTTTAAGCAAAATCACTTGTTGAAATTCAAAATTTCATTCATCGTTTAGGATGTCATCATTTTGTAGTCTCAAGCCTTGGGGTTGAAGATTTTAACGAAACTCTAGGTGTCTCTACATGGGCAGTGTTTCTCGGCGGTATTCAGACGAGTGTCGTCTGTGCTGAGTAAACAGTTGCCTGTTTATACTGACAGTGTTTACACATTGCTGAGGGGACTAGGCCAGTAACTGGCAAGGCACCTTTAAAAACTGTACGTGTTGTAGATATTTAGTACTTTATTTCATATCCATACGTTTACATATTTTTATGGTGTGTAGAAACGAATTTTATTATTGGAGATGTGAAAAAATTATATTTTTTGTTGCTACAAATACGAGAAAAATAAAGAGCTTAAGTGTCTTCACAAAACAGAAGGTGATGTTTAAAAGTAAATAATTTGAGTTTAAAGGCGGAAGATGTCAAAAGTCAAGAATTAATCCTCTAATGGAACCCATTATGTGTGTTTGGTTGCAACAAATAAGTCGAGAAAATACTTGTTTAAAATGCAAACACAGGAAAGCACAGAAAAGTAAGAATACGTAAATGAAAGAAGACTTTCAATATATGCTTTGTGCAGGAGAACTTACTAACAATCCTTTCGATCTTGCAACATATTTCTTAATGTTGAAAAACCGTTGCGCCAAGAATAATGAAAGAAACCCTTGCGCATGACAAGAATACAAATTATTAAAAATCCCTAATTTAAAAATCCCGAATTTAAAATCCATTTTGCAGAAACACGATGAAAGAGTATTCGGGTATAGATGCAGTTGAATATCATTAGTACATTACTTACAAACGTTGCACTGCCGTTGCCCTTCTGTCATCGAGGCCACATCACCTAGAGCTATTTGTTATTATCTTAAGAAAAAGATGAAATGCTCTGAAATGCAGAAAAAAAGTTCGAAACATACGAAGAGAAAATGCAGTTGAGTTTGTAATAAAGAAGGAAAGTGAATAATTTGAGTAATGAAAAATAATTTGTTTCAATTAAACCTGCGCTATGGCTACATGTTATGTTTCCAAAAATATTAATTTTGTATATTAATTAGTTGTTTTTAAAAGCATTGTGACGCTCTAATGTTATTGAATAAATTTTATTCACCAACAGATCAATGAGTACACTGGAATAGATGGTTTTGGTCATCTATATTTTAAAGGAAATACTCTATATATGGGGGTTAGCACACTGATTCAAATTCCGAGTTCGCGGATTTAATATGTGAGCGAATAATCCTCGGTGCGCATCGATGTGTTCGTGGCATGTAAAACGACCTCGACAGGTGTTTCCTGAATTAAATTCCCCAAAACTCCTCTCAAATCAAATCTCATATTCGCCTAACCAGAAAATATGCATTTGAGAACTCTTGCCTTCAACATTCGCAATAAGTAAAGTTTGTTATAATAACTTTTTTCGCACACATATTTACTCTTGAGCGCTAAGAATCTAAAAGAAAGTAAATTTCCTAACGTAATGCACTATCATTTCTTTCTCATGAAAAGTGACTAAAATCACCTAAAAGAAATGTGATGTCTTTCAGTGTAAATCGATTATTACTGACCGACATGAACTTCCATGCATGTTTCTAAAGTCTGTCACATTTTCACCCTCTCTCTCTTTCTTCCCTCTCTTGCTCTCTCTCTTCCCTCTCTTGCTCTCTCTCTTCCCTCTCTTGCTCTCTCTCTTCCCTCTCTTGCTCTCTCTCTCTTCCCTCTCGTGCTCTCTCTCTCTCTTCCCTCTCTCGCTCTCGTTCTTTTACAATACTTGTTTGGTATTCGAAAGTTATAAATGTGTTGTGAAATTTGCTTTAAGTATATAACTGACAATATTTTGTTAAAACGTATTAAATTTATTTATTTGTACTTAATGCCTATTTCATTTTGTAAAAATTTTTCTTAGCACTTACAAGAACCAAATTGACATAGATTTCTCACTCTCTGTTACACGATTCCCTTGCTTTCGCTATCATATCATGTGAATCATCCTCTGGAGTCCTGCATGTCAAGAAACTCCGCGTTCTTGGAATTTTAATTGACAAGAGAAGCTTCAGAAACTCTACGTCAAAACAGAATATTTAAAAAAAAATTACTGCCAGTTTACAACAATCGTCGCTGAAATCATTGAAACGTCTTATACAATTGTATAAAGAAGTTACTCTAAGAAGGGAAGAAATTTCTGTAAGTTGGATACATAGGGAAACAAATGAATCGTCATATCTGACGATGGCATTGCAGGAGGTAGTATCAAAGCGATTTACAAATGAGTCAAATGCAAACGCACATATTGACGATTTGAGTGCATGGACATTACCTCCAGTTACGTTCGCAGTAGAAGCCGATCAGTAGCGGTCAAAGTGGCCACTTCTTAGAGTAATCTCTATTAGCTCAGCTAAAACAGTAACATATTTTGAAGCTTCTGCCGTAAGAGATTACTGTTGTTCATGCTCTGCAGCCTCGTGATCCAGATGTACGAGTTCGCATTATTGAATACTTTTTTGTAGAGCTATGTGATGATATTGATATTCCTTTGAGGTTTTTTGATGTAGCTTTTTCTGGTAAGTGTGCACACCAGTAGCCGAAACAACCGCTATTAAGCGTGGAACCACACCTACTACACGAAGAATCACGTCAAAATTTGAAGAACGTGATGACCGATTGGTGCGTTAGATCATTGTGGTGGAAAATCCCATTGAATTACTATAAAGATATTAAAAATTCCGCCAATCTGCTATCCAGTCAAGTTGTATCGAGCTTGGAAACATGTATGTGGAGAGTAGCTGGATAATGGTCACCACATTCGATCCCACTGCGCTCCAAAATCTATCTCCTCCTTCTGTCTCATCTCCTCCCGTTGTGGGCAGGTAGGGTATTTAAAATAACATTTGTGGTGCTAACTACAAATAGAAGATTTTGTTACATTTTCGACAGCGCATTTATAAAAAAATTGACACTAATAACAAAAGAACAATGTTTTTCAACAGCAATCAAATAAAATTGTCAACTTCCGACGAAGTGTGAATGGTTGTCACTCCATTTTACAAAAGGAAATACTTAGCACGCGACAGTAACTTCTAATAGGAACAAAATAACACGAGAGTACAATATTATCCCAACCAATACTGCAATGGTAAATTACAATCACTGACGCTTCTTTTAATTTTTTATAATCGATACATTTAAACCGAACCTTTGAATAAAAATTTTACAATCGTGTTGAGTTCGTATAATAATAATAATTATAATTATAATAATAATTATTATTATTATTTTTTATTATTACTATTACTATTATTATAGCCAGTTACAACCCCGCGTAGGCCAAGGGCACCCACTTCAGGATCTTCCTTATACAGACGCAATTTACACACAACATAAGAAAATGTTCCACTTTTCACTGCCACGATCACTGCCAAATTTAGTACCCTTTACTTTGACTTCACTACTTACAGCTTATTATGCAAGCACATATCAAGTTGGTAAGAAATTGAATAATGGTCCATTGTGTGTTGGATTTACACATGACCTTACACGTCTGACGATTCTTTGCCGAGGTAGGCAATTGGCTGCCAAGAAGCATTTTCTGTTCGTCCGATTGATTGATTTTTCTAGTGATTACAGCCACCAACTACCAGGGTCATTAGTCCCATAAGTGTAATGCGTGTTTATTTTGCTCGGGAGGTGGAAGTGATATTTCCCGTCTGTACGGCGAGATCGGCGCCAACCTACCGTCGGCTAGCGGGGTTTCCCCCAATCAGGTATCTCCCACCGGCGGGGCACCGCCCCAGCCAGGACAAGATCTTAGCTCCTGATGGGTTTTCCGGCATGTGTGATAGTGTAGTGCAAGTTAGTGTAAGTGTGTGTGTAAGGGGTGAGGTTATGACAAGGAAGAGGAAAGTGAGAGCGTGCGCGGTCCGTGGCCCGTTTTTTAGGGTACTTCTCCAGCATTCGCCTGGTGTTGATCGGGGAAACCACGGAAAACTACCGATCAGAGCAGCTGGCCGCTAGAATTCTCCTCCAGAAAGCGATTCGACCTAGGTAACAAGCTAATGCCGAAAATACTGCCACATTCGGTACTGGAACCTAGGACCTCCGATTAGAGGGACTGCAGTAACATCACTGTTTGTCCGACCACCTATTCTTCTGCCTGCCGACGTTTCTCTTTCCTGGGTCCCAAGCGGTGAGTCCAGCGGGCATGTGGAAGTCGCATGAAATGACCTGCCCAATGCTATTTGAGGTTTCAACGCCATTAATTTGTTTTGCCTTTCTTATGTCTTCATTGCGTATTCTACTTGCATGGGTAATGTTTAAAAATTTTCTTTCCATTTTACGGAGGCAGACATTAATAGTATTTGTTTCTTTTTGTATTAGTGCCCTTGTTTGCGAACCGTATGTGCGAGCTGAATGTACGCAAGTATTTATGATTTCTCTCTTTATTCGAAAGCTGTAGGATTGGTTCAAAATAATAAATTTTAATTCCCAAAATGTTGGCCATGATGCGGAAATTCGTCTGATTAACTCTTTTTTGTATTATTGATAGACAATAGTTGTCATAGATACACTATTCTTCCACACAGTCAATTTTCTGGGTACCAACAGAAACTTTATATTTTGTGCTATTTGTCATGTCTAGACCTCAGATTTTAGGACAAATGTCTACTTAGTTCCTTTAGAAGGTAGTGGAAAATAATTGCAGATGGATACAAATAATGAAAAATAGATCTACGGAGATCAACTAATGGTGCCTAAATGTCCTACAAGAGTGATTGATGCCCATTTAGATATTTT